TGTAAAAAAAAAAAAAAATTAGATACATATAAATCACCCGCACTGTTAAAGCTATAATAATAATAAGGGGCGGAGGCCCCACAGGCGCATGCTCTATCCTAGTCTTATTGTATTTTTAATTTTTCGCTGATAAATTTTAGAATTGTCCGTATTAACTAGTATGTAACCCGTGCGATGCACGGGCTTGTACATGTTTTGGAAAAATTTAAAATATTAAAAGGTTATTAATTAATAAGTTGTCATAATATGTATGGGATTCATAAAGTAAACATAAATTCGTCGTTGGTAAAAAGTCATACATTATTAAAAACCTCCTTATATACAACGTTATTAGTTTGATTACTGGGTAACTCACCGTCCCCACAAACTAATATTTTCAACCCCTTCATATTAGTAACACATGAAACAACGACGTATAACTGGCCATGACGAAAAACAGGTTTTTTCAAGAACAGTCCTACATGCATGTGATAAAGACTGACCCTGACTCTTGTTTATGGTCATGGAATAGGAAACCATAAAGGGAAATTATCTCCGCTCGAACTTAAACGGAACCTTAACATCAGAAGGAGTTATGTTCATCTGAGGAATCAACACCTTCTCACCTGCGTGATCTCCAGTCAATATCCTACATTCAAGAACATGTGGAGAGAGCTTCGTAACAACCAAACGTGTGCCATTACACAGAATTATAGAATGGTCCATGTTTCGCAATAACATGATTGGAGTTCCTATCTTCAAATGCAACTCATGGTTCAGCGTTCCCGAACACCTCGCCTTCGTTTAGTACACCTCGAAATACTCCCTTATTTGTAGCACGTATTATGCCTTTAATAAATGCACCCTACAATATATATATATATATATATATATATATATGTATATATATATATATATATATATTAAAATATTTTTTCAAATTATATAAATTTGATATTACAAATGAAAATATTTATCTGTTCATCATGCAATAGTATATGGAATGCGTTACAGCTCTCCCATTCGTGATGCGTCTCAATTATTCGGACTGCTCTCAAACACAGATAAGGTTTGTTTGTCCTACTCGCGGAATCGAGTGTATCCCAGACTGGCGGCATTATATTATCGATGTGTTCTGAAATTTATCTCTGTATTTTTTTTTTCTTTGAACGTTGTGAATGAAGTGAAAATAAGAAAAAAATCTTCTTCACCCCAATACAAAGACATATTAAGTTTTTCACACCGTCCACTAACGATCTAACTTTTTTAACCCAGAAAGTGCGAAGGTTATGCGAATGGACTGCATAACTGTCGCATATCAATTGCATAACTGTCGCATATTCATCGCACAATGCATTCGCACTTTATCTTTTTTTCACCCCAGAAAGTGCGAAGGATATGCGAATGCCTTCGCACTTTTAACTTTCGCACAATGTTATCGCGTAATTATCGCATATTCATCGCACACTGCCTTTCGTACTTTAACTTTTTTACCCCCAGAAAGTGCAAATGATATGTGAATGCCTTCGTAGTTTTAACTTTCACACGATGTCATCGCGCAATGGTCGCATATTCATCGCACAATGTCTTTCACACTTTCTGGGGGTGAAAAACTTAGTTTTTTATTGGGCAGTGTGAAAAACTTAGCATGACTTCGAAACAGGGTGAAAATAGCATATCCTTTTATACAACTTTTTATAGCAAAAAAGTGATTGATGAAAATTATTTAAATGAAAAGATATTGGTAAGATTTTAACCAAAAGTGATTGATGATAATTATGGATCAGTTTTAATTAATCTTTTTTTTTGGGCACACCTTGTTAAATGCATGATATGCGGCTTTCTAAGAGGAGATTTATATGGAGCCACAAAAAGATGAGATTTATTTAGATTTTGATTCCATATTTTTTATTGTATTCCGAAAAAAAAAAATTGGAAAAGTAAATATGCTAATAAAGAGTCCGAATTGTGAAAAAAAAAAGGAAAAGTTTGAGTCCGAATTGTGAAAAAATTAATGCAATAGTGTGAAAAAATTAATGTAATGGCGGGATTCCATAAATATAATGATTTATTCTATAGTATCTATTGCAATTAATGCTCGCTATTTATTAGGCCGAATTGTTAAAACAATACTAAGAGTGTTTTAAGCAATTTTGTTAATTTACTATTTTTAAGCAATAATTAATAAAGCTGGCGAGAAAATATTTCTAAAAGTGAATTATGTTAATCCATATTATATATTAATAGATATTATATATTTTAGGTTGAATCAACTGAATTATATATCTGGACACGATTTTAACCTTACTTTTCTTTATTCAAGTAAATACCGATATTCATGTCATATATATTACTTTCAGATATGGAGTATTCAATTATTTTGTAGTTTGGTTTTATATAATTTAATTATGCAAAAAATTCCACATATAATACTTAGTATGTTATTTGGCTATGAATATCCCAGTTTACTTTATATATTTGCATAATTTTCAAATTAGTTATACCTTAGTATATAATATTGTATAAAAATTTATTTATTTATATGACATATTCAATGAAATGATAAAATTAACCTCAAAGACATGTGATGTAACTTGTAAGACTATCCTTATCCCCAACCCAATCTAATAATTAAAAATTATTTATTTCTTACTCAACCTAAATATTTATTTTATTTTAATTTATTATAAATTACAATTGTGTTCTAAAATATATCAAGTATAGTATCTATTTGTAGAGAATAAAAAAATATGAATTTTCGTATTTTTTTGGAAACAAAAAAATACACTTGTTCAATAAAAACGAGACAAGTGTCCCAAAATTTCCCCCACAATCGGTTGTGACCCTCGGTCACATTGTGACCTGAGTCACGCAATTTTACTGATTTTTTTTTTTAATTTTTCTTTTGTCTTTTTCTGATGACCCAAGCATTGGGTCGCCGATAGACCAAGCTTAAAGAGAGTGATGTGACTATTAGATCACATCATAGCATTGTCTATATAAATTATGTTGCTTTTTAAGCTAAAACTAAGAAAAGAAAAATTATTTGTTTACGTTTGATGCAAAAAAATAAAAAATTAAAAATTTAAAATACATTAGCAAATAAAAAAAAAAGAACATTTCTCATTTGTATAGTAGAGTAGTTAATAACTTGTGAGTTATGTTAAAGGCAAGTATTCTCCGTATAAAATACAATTAAAAATTATAATAATTACTTTTCTTTTTTCAAACTTAAAATTTACGTTTCAATAATACAATTTAATTTGTTTCACCGCGTGATTCATAGAACTTACTATAAATATTTAAAAATTATTTTCGTACTTTGACTTCATTATACAGATGTCTAGCAAGAAAATGTATTCAAAAGATCTGACGTCTGAACGCTGGTGTGCCTCGACTCGTTTGTGAAATAAATAAAGTATGACCTTGAGTTGACTCATGTGAACTCGGTTCGTCTCATTTAATAAATCTTGAAATCTGAATGAAACCTAAAATTATATTCGAGTTTGGTTGGGTGCAAGTGTTTAAATTATAGCTCATTTAGTGTATATATTTAGGCTTTTGTGTCTCGTGGCTAAAATGAACAAACATACTAAAATGATTTATTGAATAATCATGCCCGTTTCACATAGAGCACATAACTTTGCTTCTTTGATGCCAACAAAATAAAAATAGGCAGATCACTTGTAAGTCGATTACGACACGTTAATCGTGAAAAGTCTAAATATTTCTCCAAAAAAAAAAAAAATAAAGTAAACGATATAAGGAAATGTTAAAGTCCCGTTACGAAGCTATTTTATCAAAATTTATAACTGTTAAATCATCGTGTAACCATCACAAATAATTGATCTAATAGTTACAAACCCCGACGAAATAGTTACGGAACGAAACCGTAACATCTTCCACATCTAAATATAAAAAAATTGCTCGAGATAAGCATATGATACACATTTACTCTCAACCCAAAAGGGGTAAGAAAAGCGTGACCTAAAAAACACAAGATTGTTGCCTACTGCTCACACACACACACACACACACACATACACACACACCTCTCCCTACTCGCCTTCTTAACCTAACCATGGTTACTTTCACTGTTCCCAAACTCAAACCCCCACCAATACTTCATTCACATGCATCAATTTGACCACCAAAAATATAGTAGTAATAATCTAGAACAAAAAAAATGAAAAAATAATAATAAAAAAATAAAGGAAAACGAGCCTCCCTCTCTCTCTCTCTCTTCTTCATTTTCTCTTTCACTGCCAAAAAAAAACCACGCGACACAAAAGCCTCTTGTTCTGGACCTCCGGCCGTCCGGCGCCGCCGATCATTCCGCTGGTAACGTCATCTCTTTTCCGGTCAGTCTTTTCGAAGTGTAAAACGGGCTGGTGAGTAATTTTGAATTCGATTTCTGTTTCTCCACCATCTAATGATTGTTCGAGTTTCATGTTATGCTTGCATTTAATTTTGATTTGCTGATTTTTTTGTTGTTTCTTTCTGATTTGTTCGTCTGTTCATGCATGCCTGTGTAGATTTTCGATGTTTGAGATCTGAGACTTGAGAGCTATGGGTCATCCGGAATCTGCGGGAAAACTGATTGAATTTCTCTCGGGGTGCTGCGATGGTGTTTGTTGTGATCTATTTATGACGCAAGTTAGGGTTTATGCGATGCGTAGTTTCTCAAACGAGTGAGATTTTCTGGATATTCCGTTAATCGCCATTAATTAATATCTATATCTGCTATTTTGGGTTTTTTTTTCCCTCATCGAAACTTAAAA